CATATATTGATGGATACTTAGGTTGTTTCCCTTTCTGGACACAGCGAATAAGGCTGTAATGAACACAGTAGTACAGTTATCTCTTCCAAGTCCTGTTTTTATTTCCTTTGGGTAATTACTCAGAGGTGGGATTGCTGGATAGTAATTCTATTTCTAATGTTTTGAGGAAACTCTATACTGTTTTCCATGTGTGCTGTACCAATTTATATTCCCAACAACATTGCACAATTGTTCCTTTTTTCTCTACATCCACACTAACACTTGTTATACTTTGTCTTTTGATGATAGCCACTTTAACAGGTGAGGTGACATATCATTGTGATTTTGACTTGCATTTCTGTGAGGATTAGTGATGTCAACCACATTTTCATGTATCCATTGGCCATTTTTACATATTCTTTGAAAAATTTCTATGCAATTCCTCAGCCAATATTTTAATCAGATTTTTTCTTTTTTTTTTTTTTTTGCTATTGAGTTGTATGAGTTCTTTATATATTTTGGATATTAACACCTTATCAGACATATGATTTGCAAAAATTTCCTCCATTCCATAAGTTGCCTTTTCATTTTGTTATTTCTTTTGCTGTGTATAAGTTATTAGTTTGATGTAGTCCTACTTGCTTCTTTTTGCTTCCATCGCTTCTGCTTTTGGTGTCATATACAAAAAATCGTTGGCAAGAAAAATGTCAAGCAGATTTTTTTTTCAGGTTTTCTCTAGGATGTTTACAGTTTTTGGTGTTACATTTAAGGCTTTATCCATTTTGTGTTAATTTTTGTGAGTGGTATAGTATAGGGTTCCAGTTTCTTTCCTCTGCACATGATTATCCAGTTTTCCAACCCCATTTATGAAAGATACATTCCTTTCCCCCTTGAGCATTCTTGGCTCCCTTGTCAAATATTAGTTGACCATATATTTGAGGCTTTGTTTTTCTAGGCTCTATATTCTGTTCCATTGGCTTATGTGTATATTTTTATGCCAGTACTATACTTTTTGATCACTATAGTTTTATAGCATAGTTTGAAATCAGGAAGTGTGCCGCCTTAAACTTTGTTCTTTCTCAGGCTTTCTTTGGCTCTTCTAGGTGTTTTTTGTCTCCATAATAATTTTAGCATTGTTTTTCTATTTCTGTGAAAATGCCTTGGAGTTTTTATAGGGATTTTGTTTAATATAGATGGGTAGTATGGACATTCTAACAATATTAATTCTACTGATCCACGTATACAGAATATCATTTCATCTTTTGTGTCTTCTTCCATTTCTTTCATCAAAGTCTTGTCTTTTTCATTATAGTCATGCATTGCTTAATGACGGGTATAGATTCTGAGAAATGAATCATTAGGCAGTTTTGACATTTTGTGAACATCATTGAGTGTACTTACACAAACCTTGATAGTATAGCCTACTACACACCTAGGCTATATAGTACTAAACGTATGGGACCACCATTGTACATGCGGTCCATCATTGACCAAAATGTTATGTCATGCTTGACTGTATACAGATCTTTCATGTCCCTAGTTAAATTTATCCCTAAGCATTTTACTATTTTTGATGCCATTGTGAATGGGAATGTTTTCCTTATTTCTTTTTCAGATGTTTCATTGTTAGTGTGCAGAAACACAACTCCTTTCTGTATGTTGATTTTTGTATCCTGAAAATTCACTGAATCCACTGATTAGTTCTTGACAATTTTTTCATAGAATCTTCAAGATTTTTCTGTATGTAAGACAAATAATCTGCAAACAAAGGTAATTTTATTTCTTCTTTTCCAATTTGGATGCCTATTATTACTTTTCCTTGTCTGATTGCCCTGGGTAGGACTTCCAACACTATGTTGAAAAAAAGTGGAGAGTGGGCAGATGCTTTGTTCCTGATTTTAGAGGAAAAGCTTTCAGCGTCTCACCATTGAGTATGATGTTAGCTGTGGGCTTGTCACATATGGCCTGTATTATGTTGAGGTATGTTCCTTATGTACCCAATTTGTTGAGCATTTTTATCCTGAAAGGATATCGTAGTTTTCAAATGCTTTTTTCCTACATCTATTGAGATGATCATATGATTCTTGACTTTTATGCTAATAATGTAATGTATCAAATTTACTGACTTGCTTATTTGAACCAACTTTGTATTCCAGGAATAAATCACACCTGATCATAGTGTATGATCCTTTTAATATGCTGTTGAATTTGGTTTGCTAATATTTTGTTGAGAATTGTGCTTCTTTATAAATCAGACTATTGGTCTTTTTTTTTTTTTTATCTTCTGACTGTATAATTTCAAATGACTTGCCTTTGAGTTCACAGATTCTTTCTGCTGCTTGATTGAGGCTGCTGTTGATGATCTGTATTCATTTTTTATTTTATTCACTCTATTCTTCAGATCCAAGATTCCTGTTTGTTTGTCCTCATCTAAACAAAATAATCTCTTTAATTTATTTCAGCTTCATGTTTGATTCTTTTTATGATTTCTGTCTGTGTTGAACCTCCCATTTTGTACATATATTGTTTTCCTGATTTCACTGAGTTGACTTTCTGTGTTCTTTTATAGCTCACTCAGCTTCCTTTAAACAATTTAGTTTAAAGTATTTTCAAGCAATTCATGGTTTTGCATTTCTTTGCTGTTGGTCACTGAGAAATTATATTGTTCCTTTGATGGTGTCATATTTCCTCGATTTTTCATGTTCCTTGAAGTCTTGCATTGGTGTTCACAGTTAAAGAAGCAGTCACCTCCTCCAGTCTTTACTGACTGGCTTTGGGAGAGAGATATCTTCACCTATCAGTCTGACTAGGAATTCTGAGTCTTTCTCAGAGCTTTTCTATGGATATCCCTGCTCCTCACTTCTTGTTCCCACCAAGAAGTATTTCTTCAGATTATATGCCTTCTCTCGATCCTATAAAGTGAGACCAAGTTTTGAGAGCCTCTCTTTTTCTTTTCCTAAGGTAGAGGCCTGAAATGCTCATTTGTGAGAATTCTCCTCTGCTCACAGATTTGGGCCAGCCTTTTACACTTGCTCACTCTCTGTCTATAAGTGCTCCCTCTCACGATCAATGGGAACAATCATCTGGAGCCATCTAGGTCACTGAGGTGAAGTGCATGGAGCGTGGGGGACATCTTTGGACCAATTGGGGGTAGTCTGCAGGCGAGGTGTTCCCTGTGGCTTGTGGGCAGGCATTCTAATGGAGTCCACAAATTGTTTAGTAAGAAGAACTATGAAGTGGTTTATAGTCTCTCCTTGACGATTTCTGAGCTCTGACTATGATTCCAGCCTCGTCTAGCCTCTCAATATTGCAGATCTCCTCAGTAATCTGAGTAAGACAAAAAAGAATTGGCCCTTTGGGTGGCATCCTTCATGATGGGGGAAGCTAGGCACTCACTCACAGGATCACACTTCCTGCCATAGCAGAATTCACAGATCACAGTGTTCTCTCCTGATGCTGAGTCATGGTGCCTTGGAGGAGGAGGAAGACAGACAAAGTGAAACTGTTCCTTTTACCCTCTTTGATGCATCTGTTCTTGGAATTATTTGTTCCATGGTGGCTTGAAACTTCTGCATTGGACTCCCTGATTCCCAAAGGTACTCTCATCCCTAGGTGATGGTCAAAATCAATTTTCTGTGGGGGGGATGCAGTAGAGAACTCCTATTCTGCAATCAGCTGATGTCACTCCAGAAAAGAATTTCTTATAATCAAAAAGCTCAAAGCAAGCTGAAATGAATTGGAGAAAGTGGATACATAAGATTAGAAAACTAGTCGGGACCTTGGGGGAATTTCAGACAGTGTAGATTTTAACATACATAAAAAAGAAAGTTATTAAAGTGTTTTGCTCAAGAATGACGTTCTGTGAAGTAGATTATTTCGAAAATCAGAAAAGTTCCTATGTGAAAAGTGGTTTGCAGGTGTGCAAAAGTGAAAGCAGGAATATCAGCAGCAGTTAGTCCAGGTTAAGTATGATAATGGCCAGGATTAGATTTATGATAGTGTAGATTGATAAAGAAAAATAGATTGATATATAATTTGAGGGTAGAATTTATAGATAAAATGATCAGTTGAGTAATTACGCAATCTTATTTCTTATTAGACAATTATCGTTATAATAATAAAAATGATAGTGTTATCATCATATATTCCCATTGATTAATTACTTCAGGAAAAACCAAGCTTTTAATCAAAAAATTATACATGAACTTATTGCTCTAAATATAATTGGACCCATTTCTACATTGAGTAGTGGCATCCAGGTGTGAGGGTCCAAGCAAAAAAATGGAATTTTACATTATAAAAAGTCTCTTAGATTGATAAAGCAAAGAAAACAGAATGGATGTGCTAGAAGGAAGAATAAGATTATTGTTATCTTCTTCATTACTTGCCTTTTCTATTCTAAGATATCTCTTCTCAACATAACATTAATCTAACATGGAATCAGAACTTGAACTCATAACTGCAGTAATAGTAAAAAGAAAATTATTATTTTTCTCTTAAAGATGGATGTGATTTAGCAGAAAGAGCACTAAATTTAGCACTAGAACATTTGGATCTAAATCTCCTTTCTGCATTAACGTCTGTTACAGTGCACATATCCTCTCCTTTTGGCAGTAGATGATAGCCTCATTCCTGTCTAGAATATCTAAGAGAGTTATCAGTAAGAGAAATACTGGAGAGGCGACTCTGTTCATGAACACCTAATGCAACCAGAGAAAATGAAACAAAATCCAATCTTAATTGAATATGCATCACATGATGATGGATTTTCCTAACATCATTTAGAAATTATTTTAGATTTATGTTTAATTTTAAGCCTCTTTATTTTCATATCCTCTAAAAGAAGTTTTAAAACTCTGAATCTGAGTATTTTTTTTCTGACATTTTATTGACTTTATGGATCTTATCAAAGCAGTAGCAGTTATTGTAGTCAATAATACAAAGTATTCTGTTCAAAGTTCAGCCCAACCTACTATAAATTGGTTGAGAGGATCAAGTAAGTGGTCTTTAGATTGTGTACTTCATGCACTTGGTTTAAGCCCTGGTTTTGTTCAAGCAGGAGCTGATCATGAAGACTGTGAAAGGCTTCTGCGTCCTCTTCATGCTGCATCTGTGTTTCTTCGACTCTGGAAGGGCTGGGAAAGTACTTGTATGGCCCATGGATTTTAGTCATTGGATTAATTTAAAAGTTATTCTGGAAGAACTCAATCTCCATGGGCATGAAATAACCATCCTCGTACCTTCACCTAGCCTTGTGATTGATCATACCAAGATTCCCTGTAATGTAGAGATCCTTCAACTTTCAGTAACTAAAGAAACTCTCATGGAAGAGCTCAATACCTTTCTCTATACAACTACTGTTGAACTGCCGAAACTTTCATGGTGGGACATGCAAGTAAAACTGACAGAAATGAACCAGGAGGTTTTAAGGACATTCAGAAGAGTATGTGACAGTGCTATCACAAATAAGGAGTTACTCAGCAGGCTACAGGCAGCTAACTTTGATATCTGCATTGCTGATCCTTTAAGCTTTTGTGGGGAGTTGTTGGCTGAGCTTCTCAATATCCCATTTATATACACTTTTCGGTTTTCCAATGGGAATGTCATTGAGAGACTGTGTGGTGGGCTTCCCATCCCTTCTTCTTATGTTCCTGGCAGCACATCAGGACTGACTGACCACATGACTTTTGTACAGAGGCTGGAGAGTTGGTTATTGTATGTAATGACTGATATGATATATCTATATTATCTACTTCCAGAATGGGATGAGTACTATAGCATGGTCTTAGGTAAGAGAAATTCACATGTAATATGGATTCTTCTTTCATATGTAAAATGTAAATATTTATCTGACAGTATAAAAATTTATAAAGGTATTTTTAATTGAGGATGCAAGCCACTGTGGATGTTGGAGTAGCTAAACTGTGACTAAGCAGTGGCTAAGCTGTTTTAAGCGAAAAAAAAAGATTCTTTTGTTGCTTTGTTTTAGATGATTGAGTACTTACAACATATCAGAGAAGGAATATGTTTTATACTTGTACAGAAGTCCTACTTGCTGCTACTAATTTTTTTTGAGTATCTGGAAAACCCACATCTAACAGTGTGATTTTCATAACCTTGGACTATTTCTCTCTTGTTTACTTCTTTTATACACCCTCTTTTCCTTCCAATGAACTTGCTATATCTTAGGCTTTATATTTGTGTCCTGTCTAGGCTTAGTTGCTTAGATTCAGGGCTTGTCATGTGGTGAGCACAAAACTAGAAAATAGATAAATATATCTTGGTCGTCTGCCCTTGTCTCCCAGAGAGGAAAAAAAATAGAAGATTTTTCTCTGAAGGCCATGTTTCCAGATTTTTAAAACTTATCTCTGTTTTGTTGTTGTTGTTGTTCTATTAAAAAATGCACTAGAGGTCAACTAGTGAGCTTTGACCCTGAGTACAATGTTTCTCTCTATTTTAGCAAGTCCATTTACCCCTTCTTTTTTCCTTGTGCACAATTGATTTTTTTATTTAAAAAAGTGTTCATATAATTGTCTTAGAATTATTTTGCATAAGATGTTAGTTGTCTTTGAGGAAGCAGTACCCTGCTTGCAATATTTAGGGATTTTTTGAGATATAATACATATATAACATTATATTAATTTCAGATGTACAGAGTAGTGATCTGATATTTGCATATGTTGTGAAATGATCACCACAAAAAGTCTAGTTAACATTCAACACCATACATAGTTACAAATTTTTTTTTTCTTGAGATGAGAAATTTTACAACTGACTTTCTTAGCAACTTTCAAATAGACAATATGGTGTTAACTATAGTCACCACATTGTATATTACATCCCCAGGGCTTATCTTAGAATTGAACATTTGTACCTTTTGAACAACTACACCTATTGCGCATACCCTCCAACTCCCACATCTGACAACCACCAATCTATTCCCTGTATGTATCAGTTTGTTTTTTTTTAAATTCCACGTAGAAGTGATATCATACAGTATTTGTCTTTCTCTGTCCCACTTACCGCACTTACTGTAATTCCCTCAAAGTTCATTCATATTAAGGTAAATGGTAGGATATCCTTTTTTCTTATGGCTGAATGACATTTCATTGTATATACAACCAAATTTTCTTTATCCATACATCCATCGATGTACACTTAGGTTGTTTCCTTTTCTTGGCTATTGTAAATTATGCTACAATGAACATGGGAGTGCAGGTGATAGTGATTTCCTTTTCTTCATATATATACTCAGAAGTGGAATTGCTGGATCATATGGTAGTTTTATTTTTAATTTTTTGAGGAATCTCTGTACTGTTTTCCATAGTGATCACGCTAATTTACATTCCCACCAACCGTGCACAAGGGTTCTTTTTTTTTTTTTAATTTTTTGTTTATTGCAGTAACATTGGTTTATAACATTGTATAAATTTCAGGTGTACATCATTGTACTTCTATTTCTCTATAGATTACATCATGTTCACCACCCAAATACTAATTACAACCTATCACCACACACATGTGCCGAATTATCCCTTTTGCCCTCCTTCCTACCCCCTTCCCCTCTGGTAACCACCAATCCAATCTGTGTCTCTGTGTGTTTGTCTATTGTTGTTATTATCTACTGCTTAATGAAGGAAATCATACGGTATTTGACCTTCTCCCTCTGACTTATTTCACTTTGCATAATACCCTCAATGTCCATCCATG